CCATATTTTATAGAACTTTCTATCTTTATTATTTACGAAGTTATCGTCAGTTGAAATTTGATGAATTTTTCCCACATTTTCAGTGTACCGCTTTTTTTTCGGGTGAGTGTATATCTCACCATGCTGCTCTGCGCTCTACTTTCTCGCTCTGAACTTCCACTAAAAGGCTCCGTAACGCACGGGTTATAGCTTCAATATGCAGTAAAACCGGGATAGCTGGTACCGCATGCCCGCGCGTACCTAAAGCGCTCTCCTCGTTTACCTTCATCCCCTGTTATGTATAATATAACCCGAGCACTTCGTGCGATGTTTTCAGACCGCGTGTCTTTACTCGTCAATACAAAGGCAGACTTGGATTGCAGGATAAGGCAATAATTGCGCGGAAAAGCTGTAAAAAGGTATTGCGAATATAAACACGAGATCGTAAAGTTGGATTCGTGCCTGATAAATATTTGCAATCTGGCCCATTTTGATTTTGATGTAATTTGACAAGCAAAAGGAAATAAGTGTATTTTTGCTTTTAAGGGGATGCTGGAGTTACCGGCCGGACATTATATTTTTTCGAACAAGAATATCTTTTTATTGGTTGCATAGAATTGTAAATCCTTTTGCAGGAGTAAAGTGTACACAAAAATGGAATTCGGGCTGCTCGACTTTATTTGGAAAAAAAAGAATTAATAACAAAATTTGTTTCTATTCATTAATTTCTGTTCTGCTCTTAGGATAACATATTGTATAGAGCTATCTATTTTCGTTTTTTATAAAAGTTTAACAGTTTTAAGACGCTGAATAAGAGCAGCCCGAATTGCGGACTGCAGAATAGAATGTTATGGAACCATTAAAATTGGGCTGAAAAGTCTAATGTAAAAAATATTCTTGTCCGACTATTTTTACATACGTGTGCGTCCAATATCGGTATAACAGATGAAAAATAACAGAAGATTAGTTCCAAGATAATATCAGAGAGGCGCTATACAATAATATGCGAATATATACACGCACCACACATACGCATACACAATACATTCATACTTAGATTATGACTTATGCCGATAATATCACTCTAATTTTTAGTTCCATCGAAATGATGGCGCTTTCGCGTCGGAGTTCGTCAGGCACTCCAGCATCCTCTTAAGGCTCCTGGGTAGTCACCGCAGCCATATTAGATTCATGACGTCAGAAGCGAGAAATGACACGCCGAGAATTCTTGCGTGCCATTTCTAAATAAAATAATAATTTAACAAAGTAACACTCTAGATCGCTTTAAGACACTTGTAAAATTGTCCGAAAACTATGCTTTTTCCTTGACAGGTTATAAACAATCGTTAAATCAACCGTGAAGCGAAGCCTAATTATGCGAGAAAACACACGGTTGACAGCTGTCTGTATGAGTAGAAAATACTCCTTCTACGTTGTCCCTGCTAATCTTAGTTTTCGGATAATTTTACAGGTTTCATGAACACGTCACATATCACAGCACTAACATTTAACGAATATTAACGAAATGGCACGCAAGAATAAATTGGATAGTCAACATGTCATTTTTTCACGTCTAATAGTTCATCGATTCTCCACCTAAGACGCTGCATGAGAATTTCTGTCATATGGACATGTCGGTAACGGTACTAAGCTATATATATTCTGTATTTATCGCGTTAATTTTTTTGTAAACAAATTTTTGAATTATAAATTAGCATTTTGTATGTTATTCTGTAATTTACTTTTATTGTATCAATTGATTAGGTCAAACTGTTACACTATTTACTTATACAATAAATCGACTAGGTAAATTCGACTAGGTTTTTATTCCTACCACAATTATGTCGCCACTGTCAACGCGGAGTTCACGGCTACGGGACCAGGAGCCTTAACGTTCAAAAATAAGAATTAAATTTCTTTACTCCTATTTTCGAATAATTCCGCAACGATGTAAAATATAAAAGGAAATATAGCACGAACAAATTCAGAAAAAGAATCTTCAAGTTTCTATGGAAACTTTGCTTCGATCGCCGGGATTAATTTTGCTTATCGGCTTTGCGGCTTTTTGTCGGTAACGCGCGCGCGAGAAGCGGGAATCCACCGAAAACGGGAAACATCGTCAAATTCCCGGTAATCCCGATGTAGAAGACACACAAGAGGATAGTTCGAGGAAGTAACGTGATTTCACAGATCAAACATTCATCGTCGTGTGCATGTGTAGAAACCGTACGTTTCTTCCTCCCCGAGGCGGCGGCAGAGACGAACGCGTCGGAAAGAGCGGGTCGGTTTCTCAGAAGTAATTTCACCATTGGAAAAGCGTAATTACTGGTTGGATAAACCGTTGTCGGAACCTGGCAGGCAGGTGAACATTGTCCGATGAGCGAAGTCCATTTCGCACGGATTCCGCATCCTGTTGAAACTAACAAACGTCGCAGAACTACATCAAGATGTGAAACATTTTCCGCGAAAATGCAAAGTAATAATTGCACTTTATTACACAAGTATGACTTAGTTCCGGTTATATATATTTATATAATATGTATAAGAGAACAGAAGATAGAACGGAAGATAGAACGGAAAGAAAAAAAAAGCAAATTTTATCGGCAATTACCGTATTAATTGTGTCTTGTAAAAAATTTGCAATAAATATTGCGAATTTATAAAGATAT